GTTAACATTACGCGCGTGTAAAAGTCAGGCAAAAGAACGTGTTATCTGGTTTAAGGTCCTCAGTATTACGTGACTATGCAGCTGAAGCCCACGTCTAAGGCTTACTACTTTCTTACACATATAGTCGCTGACACATTTTCACCACGTCCTTATATATACACTCCTTATCCCTGAGCCAGAGTAGGCGTGGCATTTGAACATGGCACGGAACTGGTTACTCGTGGAATATTCCAGTCTGGGACAACTGTCATCTTGTTCTGTGTTGGACAGAGACACGACAACAGTTGTGTCAAGATGGAAATATTCCACCAGAAGCATAGACACCTTCAGGTTAAGTTGAAGAATGCAGCCCCGCCTACCCGATCTCAGGGATCTCGAGTATACTAACGGTGTGGCGATTTCTAAATCCATCCAGGGCAATTTCTAATCTGTCAGTATCCCCATTCCAAAGAGACTGTTCGAGCCCTTGTTTCCTACACTTTGGATTTGTTTTGGAAGGAAGAGCTTTGTCAAAGAAATGGTGAACCCCATAAGAGATCATCTAGTCTTCAAAACTATCCAGTGGATCCACTTTAACTACGCACACCCGGCATGAGGAATTGGCCCCCAAAACGACACTACCTCACTCAAAGCGCAAACCCCGCCACACTCCAAATGAAGCACTCAGTCACGCCAACACCGGATTTGTGGGGCCGTAAAATGTACTATGCTAGTACAAAGTAAACATCGTTATTTTCCTCTCCGCCTTTAAATGCATAGGGCACTTTCATTTGGTACTCCATCCAAAATGGTAGCAGGGGTGATATTTGATGGAAAAATGACGCCAAGCGAAGTAAAACAGTCAAAAACCGGCAAAGAAGCCATTTGTTTCACATGTTCAAGAAAGCCAGTTTGAACGAGTTCCTAGTTAGTTACTGAACGGGTGCATGTATGTACTAATATATCCATGCAGCACCACAGCCGCTTTCCGCCTTCGCTTCATTCATATTGCACTCATCAGTCGGACATTTTGGGGGACGGGTACGTGGGCGTCAAAGCTTTATGTTGCAGCTTGATGGGGCGCTATGAGTGAACCTTCCAAAGCGCCACGCACAGGGTACATCATCGTCTTATGATACACAAGCGGAATCGTACTTGGCCGATGGAGAGGGGATCGCACTTGGTTGTTGTTGTTAGAGGGGGGTTCATAATTTCCTTTGAAATTCGCTACGTTGCGAAAAATTTCCCCGGTAGTTTACTTTTCGTGATTTTTCCCCCATCTCCCTCTGCCTCATTCTCCCCCTCCCGCTCGACGGAAAACTTTGGGCGAAAAACTGGTAGGAAACTGGGAAATCGTAAGAAAGTGGAAGACAGGTGTTGAAGAAAGGGGTCGTACGGGCATTACCATATCACCCATCATAATGATGTACCCTGGCCACGCAGTCTGCTCTCATGAGCCACGAATTCTATCCAGTAGGCCTTTTTCATCCTACACGTCTTAGAAGGTTATCGTGCCACTCCTTATAAAGCCTCGCAGGCCTGCCATATCCCACCTACCTTCCGTCTTTCAATTCCCGCTGTGGAACGAGCTCGGTAGGACCATCTCGTGTTCTCGTTACCTATCAATGTCTTGTGTATTTATACGCTGTAGTTCCAGTTGTTCTTGAAACGGCTTATTACAAAACACCATCTCATTTTTTTCATTCAAAAAGGGCTTCCATTCAACATATTATAACCAAATGATCGTTTAATGTTTTATAGCATGCAACAATACGACAACGGTGTCTTGAATAATGAGAAAATATTCAAAAATGGAAATCAACTGCTACTTATAATATGTGTTATTGTGGGGCTATTGTGAGCGCACTTGGAGAATACAAGATCTACCTCTATATGTACAACGGGTATAAAAATAAAAAGAAACAAGTAAAACAGAAGCCTGAACAGCTCTTGCAAAATCCAAAGTAAAAGTCATTAGCGCTTTTGCGAACACAAGTCAAAAAAACCGATTTCGCGAAATAATGAAGAATGTGGGTTGCACATGTCAAGCAACAACTGGAGTTTTAGTAGTGCCTCTTCCTCGGTTGAGAATTGGACGCAGTTTTCTCCCGTCAATACTGTCAGGACGACATTCGGAATTTTGGGAAATGATATTCCACTGAGAGAAAAGTTTGTATATATCCTTCCACCTATCACTTTTGTTTACCGCCAGCTAGACGCTGAAAAAAAGGTTCAGTGTTGATTAAATTCCAAGCAAAAGAGTTTATTGAACTGACCTGGACGAAAGACTTCAGACCTTTCATAGTGATCATGTTTGGAGCACCGATAAAGAAACGATCTGCAGTAAGTTTGGCAAGTATATCGTCATATATCGGAATAAAGCAGCCACGAAAATTATCCATGAGGACGAGTTTCCTCGTCACAATGAATTGGAGAACTTCCGGGCTAAAGTTATCCGGAGAGCAATCGCTGATTGAACTGAACCAGCTTCCCTTGATAGAGGGTTCTCGAAGGAATCGAAGGAGCACAGAAGACGTAACGGAAGCCATCGACGTTCCCATAATCCACACTTTGAATACTCGACAGCCAGCGTCCAGTAAACATGATAAGACTGACGATAGAACATCGTCCGATAGCGGCACCTAATCGAAGAAACATGAAGATGCTACGAATTCCGAAGCGGGGGAACTTCCACGAGTTTATCATGCACGTGAAATCACATACCCCGATTGACTAGCGTACTAGTTGAAGTCTTATTCTGCAATCACATAAGGGGTGGAACCCTCTCGGTGCATGAGATGCGCAAGTACGCAGTCACGAAGCTTACCACTTTCGCCACTCAAAAAGTGGTTTGAGGCTCGCGATCGCCTGATGTTATTAGAGCCTCCGCCCACTCATGTTCCGGCACAAAAATCTCCTACCTCTCAACGTCTTCAAGCTGACACTCATATCTGCAGCTTGCTGCGATAACGAATGGAAAAATCGTTTGAGATTCAAAATTTGCAATACGGTATTCTCACATTCCTGTTCTACATCCTAAATCACTTCTAAGGTGGACACTGGAATCAATCAAAGCCGCAGAACACTAAAACAGTACGAGGACGCAGACGAACAGCGCGTGTAAGGAAGGAACCATGCCGCCATTGGGCAGAGACATCAATGACACAAAACAGTCGTCAACGCCTTGCTTTCTGCGCACTTTTGAGTGGTGAAGGTGATCCACTTCGCTGCTAACATAGTAAGAGCGGAACTACGCGGCTGCGCCTCTACATTCCTCTAACTAACAAAGGCTTAGGGCGGAGACGACCAGAGCCGCTCCAGGCTATTCATTTTTCTGTTCTTCTCTGCGCTTCTCCTCTAAATGGCGTCCCATGACTAATGTGACATTACACCGATTTACTATGATAAACTGTTCACCTACGCCAGAATACTTTACTTGTAAGGGGCAACCCCTACCCAACACGTTCTTCCGTAGCATTCAGAGTTTAGCAGTCGTCCTCTGCATGCTACTACGGTGGTCTGCTTACCAGGGAAATCCGCCAACTTACCATGGAACTTTGAATGGAGACCTGGGTAGATCGATAGTCTATAAGGTTATTTACAAATATAGATAGCAAAACTGCAACCTGCATTTCACAAGCAACTTATGAGTAAAGTTTGTAATGGTGCAGTAGGGTGGAGGCTTGGTGGTGAGCTGTGAAGCATAAGCGAGGAATCGCATACGTCGAATCGAGTCGTGGTTCAGTGGTAAGGTTCGACGTTCGACGACTCGATTCGACGTATGCGATTCCTCGCTAGCCTCCACCCTACTGCACCATTACAAACTTTACCTGCTCATAAGTTGCTTGTGAAATGCAGGTTGCAGTTTTGCTATCTATATTTGTAAATAACCTTATAGACTCTATCGATCTACCCAGGTCTCCATTCAAAGTTCCATGGTGAGTTGGTGGACTTTCCTGGTTAGTCTAGGCTTTGGTTAGGAGAAGGAAAGTAAAGGACAACAGCTACGTAAGAACTTCATTTTTGCGGTCGTGCACATAGGCACCTAGAAGCGGAGAAGATTTTTCCTCTTACCATCCAATATTCATGAAGTGCGTCCTTAACATCAAAACGTCTAGCCAGCGGGCTGCTCTATGAAAAAGGGCCTTGAAAGGTTCCGTTTTCTTCGATCACTGATAACGCTGCAAATGAATTACTCAGCACTGACCTCAAGAAGCTCCAAGCGATCTATATCAGCGTTGTTGAGTAGTTCTGGAAGGTTACCCACAACCATTTCTGAACGTCTTCAATTCCTTGTCCTGTGCAAAAAAAGACTTGGTAAGATTTTTCTTGTTTTTCCTCGTCTCACATATAGCGGCTTTTCGAGAACGAAATCATCTAGTAGACGAAATTCTTAGTCCAACTCACCAACGACTTACACAATCCCTCTTCAACATATCGTGCCGAAATCGGAACGCACCACCACTTATCTGAACAAGAAGACCGCTCAGGAACTGTCTTCGGCTCAAAACTGTTAAACAAATAGAGAGGGAACTGTAGAATGAGTGAGACTTTGGCTAATAAGTTCGTTTAAAAGGTTCAAACGGCATATCTAACAAACCTTTCCTATGCTCAAATGCTCAATGAATCTTCGTTTCATCCGTAGCCGAATAAGTTCCAACATCTCCCGATTCACTAACTGACATTTTTCGAGATCACTCCGGCGGAGATTCTGGAGAATTCTGACCTTCAACTTCTGTGGCAGTCGGTGCCATGGAAAGTGCTAAAATGGGCGAGATGATGGTGCAATTTACACGGTGGAGAATATATCTGATTTGTAACTATGTGGCAAGTTCTAATCTCTGAGTCTGAGCCCCCAGAGACACTTGGGTTTAAACACCAGTCACCACACAACGTAACAAGGGCTGGTCCAGCTACTGCTCAGATATGAAGTGGATTCGAACGAATGCTGTGGAAAGGACCATGCTTAGATTACCCTGCTACAAGAAAGTGCGAAGGGAAGCTCGGAGTTACGAAGTCCGTTAAGCGGTAGAAAATAAGGGACGCTGCCGTATTCGCCGAAAAATCAGATCAGATGAGTGCCGGGACCAATGGTGTGGTTTTGTGAGGACTGTTGGACAACAGCAATAAGGAAAAGGAATTGGATTCCGACGACGGTTCGATATTTTGCACGAAAGCAGTGAAGCTTCGTGTTTCTCAGGCTATGAATATGGGCTGCTCTGGCTCGTAACAGGGACGACAGTATTTGCTATATCCTGTTGCCCACCCAAGGATTTCGATTGACAACGGGACGCTGAGGTACAGGTGATCCTTCTCTGAATGTGTGACACTGGATGGCGTGCAAAAATGAAGCTGCCATTGGTTTGGGAGAAATAATAAAAGCAGGATAGTTAGCAAATGAGCGTATGTGGAAATTCATCCAGGTCGCTAAAGAACACCATTTTGCCAAAATGTCAGGTAAACAAAAGTATTAAGCATGAGCGCCTTCACATTAAAGCTTGCAATTTACCATTTATGCCGCAGCAGGACTGCCATCAGAATACAATCGTATACGGCTTTTGTACTGGTTATGGAATACATGGAATTCTATCAGTCTAAAAGAGATGTGAAATGAAACTCACCTGTGGTTGGAAAACTGGAAGTCTGTGCACACCACTGGTCACTCCTAAGGCCTTCTTGCACCGACTGTCTGAATAAAAAAAATAATCAAAATCTATTTTAACAAAGGCAGAAGCCGGATTTATTTTACATTCTGTTTACTAGTAAAACATAGTACACCCGTACCATGGAACACTTGCATTGCGGTGCTACTTAAACAGCACATGTTACTGCCACCTGCACTGGAGATTAGGCAATCAACGGAGCGCCACCCTGTTGCGACAATTATCCCACATCCTCTGTGAATGGTCAGGGATCCGCGAAACGCCAAAATGTACGAGCAGCAGATTTCCTGTGAGTGGGTTTTTAGGTCTTGAATCGTTTTTCGAGTCTTATTAATTTCGACATAAACAATCAGCGAATGGAACAAATAATTTCGAGGAGAACAAAGTTCAAGTAGTGTTCGCAGATCGCATGGGCAGGCTGACACCTACACATTCTCCATTTTATGATTCCTGTTTCTAGGACGCACTTAAAGACAGCCCCCGCGCTCAAGTAGTACATGGTCGTCCTTCCTTGTGCAAGTAGTACAGCCCCCAAGCTAGAGACTGTCCCACTCTCGCGACTCCACAGCGAGCGAGGAGCGAGCTACAGCTGCTGAAAGTTCTAGTTCTAACGCCCGCCCAGTTGGACCGCCCACTTGCTAGATGCCCTCTGACGGAGGGCCGCTCAGTTGTTCTTTGTTGGGGCGGCGGGCAATCGGAATTGCATGTCCTTTTTGCTGACCGCGCTCGTGCCCATAAATAATTCTGCTCTCCTTTATTACATTTTATTCATTAGGAGCACATGCAGCCAACTGCAACCCATCTCGCAGGGTAAAAAGTAAAAGCTCGACGTACATCACACTAAGAGACACACGCTATCGTAACCCTAAATTCAGGCGCCGAGTTTTGAAGTTTCTTTTCCTTTTCAAGAGTTTTTCTTCCGTGTTTTTGTTGTTTTTCGTATTCTTTTCTTTGCATTGGATGATATCCACTACTGGGAGATGTGATAAAGGGATTTGTGAGCCAGGGGTTGCACAGAGACCGCAGGGAGGTGTGACTGTCTGGAGCGATTTTGCTTAGTGTTCTTGAGGTCTCCTTTTGCTTTTTTCTTCTTAAGGAGCTGAGAAGCAACTATCCAGGACACTTTTATCGCGGGAGTTGTCTTTAAGCTTACCATCCGTTTTCGCGGTCTTCGTCTTGTTCACGCTTGAAGCAAGCTGTTTTGAAGATACAACACTGAAAAAATACAGCTTGATCAAAGGGTTTAGAGAATTGAACGGTGGAGCTTTTGTTCTGGCGGTAGATGCCAGTTCAGAGGAAATGTGAATAAATCCTAGAAATGCAGAAAAAAATCTATATTTCCTTTTTCTTTTTTTGCTCAGTTAAATGGGAACTTCACATCTTCCAGGTCCTTTTCGGTTATTTTACTGCCCCAATCATCCGAAATCAAGCCTTTTTTCAACGACTTTTTCCTGTGGGCAGAGTTGGCTAAAAATTTATCCCCTGGGATAGTTTTAAGGATTAACGCGAAGTGTGCAATTTTTGTTTGAAGTATGAAACATTGGTTTGCAAAGACCAGAGAAGGAACTTTTCGCGGTAAAAAGGTGGAGGAAGAGCGGCTGCCAGTTTGTCGCCAACGCTCGTGCCAACCCTAATTTTTCTGTCGTCGTGACAATTCCGCTTCCTCGCCTGTTCTCGTTGCTGGTCTCT